TAACCACCATCATTACTATAAGTGACCACTATTGCTGCTTCAAATCGGAGAATAAACCTGTTCCAGGAACCAAAAAGCACTACTCAACCCCATTTCCATTTCTACCTCATTTGCTATAGAAAACACATGCTTTACCCCTTCAACCCCGACTCTTTTCCAGGATCCCAGCATAATTTTATGGAAAATTCAGAGCAACGATATTATATTTCAAGACAGAATTTATTTTCACTACAAACCATCCAGCAATAGGTTTGAAGGAATTTCTGGAGCCTCAGATTTTTTCAAAGTGGCTAAATTTAAAAACAAGACACATGCAAAATGAATTTGCAAAAGTATTCATGCAGAATGCTTCAACAAAAAAATGCCCATCAAATCCTGATAATTCCAGTTAGCATGCAGAACTAGAGAGGTATCGCCAACCATTACATTATCCCGACTGAAAAGACACAGCTACGGCGTTTGACCAACTGCCAGAACTTTTGAATTTGGAAACCAAACACAGGCAGCAACAGCTTCATGGCTTTGGAGTTTAAAAAATAAAGCAAATTCCAGAGGCCAGCAGCCGCCTAAGCAAATCATGTGTGTCCTACAACACAACTCAGCCTTGCTACCAAATATAATTGCCAAATGCGCCAAAAAGGGGTCAACCACAGTTGTAAGGCTCCAGGCAGCAATTATTTTTGTGTGTACTGAAAAAGAAAGAGAAAAAGCCACACTTAAAATATGCAATGAAGGCGGAGTGGAAAGGCAGGAGATGGAAGAAAGCTAACTACTTTTAAATAGACGCAATCACAGCCTACCTTTTTAGACCCAACAACAAACTCACAGGGCAGTATGAGAGAAGAAGGGAGGGAAAAAAAAACAAGGAACAAACCAAAAATTAGAAAGACAGAGAACAGAAAGAAAATTAACAGCCACATACACATACTGAGGTATCATCAACTTCAATAAATCAGCAAACAAATCCCATCTACGATACCGCGTGGAGAAGACACATCTATAAATACAGCCCTACTTTCTCATCTCTCACTAATATTAAATGGATGCCTTACCAGTATTAAAAAAGAATTTAAGACACAAAGTGATGTAAACGACATTAAAATGAGCTTATCCAAGTAGATTTATAATCATACATGGGTATGGGGGTTTTTTTTAAGCTGAAAACATAAATAAAATAGACAAATTAAACAAATGGGATTGCTGGTATTTCTGGCAAGTGTGTTTCCTAGTTTCAGGTTTGTAGGATCTTTGTTATCATCACGAGAAGGTGCATTTTCATTCTTTTCAATCAGCCTCCTGGTCTCCATAAGCAACTATCAAGTACAGCTGATTTCAGAAACTTTTTCTATCATCCTCAGCAGCCCTGTGAGTACATAAATGTTTTATTTCATTTACAACTGAAGAAACAAATTAAAATGAACATATTTGCCAAGAGCACCTATTGGCTCAGTGCTCTAGAGGATTTAAATCAAGGTCAGACTCACAGTCCTACAACTTCTAATTAACAGAACAACCTTTCTTCAAAACTTCTTAGGACTTCAGCCCACTATTTTTCATACATAAATTTTCTACCAGCCAAAAAAAATCTACATAATCTATTGTGTATATTGTCATCCCAGTACAAGATCAGGGAATGTTGTCTCTTCTGCTCATTATCCAAGTAACTTTCAAAAGAGAAAGATCAGCTCCACTTTTCCCAAGAATTATCCTACTTGAAATGCAGCGTAATCCATCTTCCCAAAGTCTTTCCCTTAGTCGATTCTATGATTCTATGAACTTTGCATCTTACAAGAAACCCATCATGTTGCAGTTGTTATGCAACCAAACTCATGCTCATCTTACTAACTGGGTGAGAGAGAAGATCACTTCCGTGTATCTAGTCCTGCTCATAACACAAGTACTAACCTTAGTATTTTACAATAAATTGCTTGGAGAAAAGTCTCTTTTAAGATACAAAACCAAAGTTCAGTATTTTTAATTAGTCTTTAAATCATATGATCATAACTTCTATGTCCCATGTAACTTCTTAACAACTTTTCACCCAATCTATCAACCCTGTTCATTAGCTCAAGGCTACAGCTGCACTCTACAGCTAAGGAGACCTTTGCTACACATGGTAAAATTTAGCTTCACTTTTGCAAGTTACAGGAAAAAATATTCTTATTTAGCCTAAGCAGACATCTGCAACTACAGCAGCAGACACAGACTCTCTGTTACAAGCACTCTCTTTCATCTCTTCTCACTGCCTTCTCTTCCATCTGTTTAATATAGATTCTTTGTGCTTTATAGCCAGTTAGTTGCACACTGACTGGGAGGTCAGGATACATTATATTAATAAATTTAAAGGAACACAGCATATATAAATAAAAGGATAAATAAGGGTATATTCTTTGCCTTTAACCCTTTAGAAATATCCACCTAATCTAGAACCAGCTGTTTCCTTTGCCTCAGTATCTCAATAGCATCCTTCTTTTTATTTCATTCTTCAGACTTATTATGCTGGCAGACTCAAAACCAACAAAGCAAAGTTACTCTACTGGATGTTCTTACATGAACTCTGTGTATTCAGGCAACCCTTACCCCTCCCTGAACAGCATTATACACCACCACTTCTTGCAAAACCAGACACTCGACTCTGTTGAAGAAGGTCCTTTCAAGGCCTGTATCTCCCTGTTATAACTTAATGCAATGCTTTTCCCCTCAGTTAGGTAAACTGTCCCTGCAAAAGAGAACACACTAAAATAAAAACCTCTCAATGCAATCCAAACAATGAAATGCAATATTGTTATTTCACATTTCAAGACTTTGATTGAAAGCGTAGGTTAGTTTAATAAACTGATCTAATTTCAACTACATTTCATGGTCCTGAATCTCTGTGAAGTAGAACACAGAAGCAGAGGTGCACCGTGCTCGATGAGAGGTGCCCAGACAGGTCCCTGAGCAGTAAAGCTGAGGTACACGGTGCACAGGGACAACTCCTTTCCTGATGTTTACTCAGGATTACATAAATTTCTCTTTTCTGTTACAAAACTCAAAGACATTAAAAATCTCCAAGCATTCAGAATATTTTCTTCCTCATCCATGCAAAATACTAAACTGAATATAAAGACCTTATGTGTTCATATATAAATCCTAAGTTTTAAAACAATCTGAAGTCCCAAGTCCACAGCAAAATAAAGCTGAAAAGCTTGATTAATATTGAACTGAAAGAGGAAAAATTAGAATGTTTAACACCTTTACTTTGGGCAGCTAAGGGCAGCAAACACTGGATATCCATTGATCTAGACTTACAGGAAAAGTTATGTGGTATTCAAACCACCCAGCAAGGCTGTATGTCTGTCTGAACCAGTGATTAACTCTGTAAAAACTCATATAGTTACAAAACTGCGGTCATACACCTTCCATTTTGCAAAGAAATTCAGTGCAACAGCATAAAGTACCTTCATGGATACGTGTGGACAAACACACTGCCTGTTATTTGAGGCCCCACCAGCTCAGAACTTCACAGGAACTATTTAGCCACTAGCGACAACACAGCCACTGCCCATAAATAAGTAGTTTATGTAAGGAACTGACTTCCACAGTACAATTTGGAAGCATGTTATTTAGGAGGCACAACTGAACAACATAATTAATTCTGATTTGGGGATTCTTGGCCAAAACTCAGTTTTCTTAGCTAATTGTAACAGATCTCAGCTGATTAACCAAAATTCATCCAAACTGAGTAATTAAAGCCAGTATTTTATCACCCATGCAGAGTACAAAAACTAATAACACAGTAATTTATATATCTAATTAAAGTTGAATAGTGCTGGGACTAACCAAACCACTGAAAGAGTAGCTCAGGTAGGGAACAACACTGGGTAAAGCAAATCAGCGCAAGTTCAACTGCCCACCAGGAAGAGGACCAGGAGCAGGGCAGAAAGGTATTGTCGGCCCTTCAAGCAACCAGAGATAATTTAACGGAGGGCTTCAAACTAATTAGAAACTAATTAATATATCACATTCTTATAAAGACTAATTATGTAGGCAGAGATGATTAACATGACCAGAAGGCTTCACAAACCTGCCAGGAGGGCTCTGGACAACCCTGTCCAGACACCTCTGAGCTTTTACACACAATAACCCCTGCTGCATCCCTAGCAGTACAAGACAGACATGAAAACTACTATTCCCATACATAGTACGGATTTTGATAGGGCTTCCACACCTCTGTCTTTTCTAAAACAAAAGGGAGACAGTTGCTTCCATCCTTTGGATTTGACTGTGAACAGTGGAGTCAAACAGATCTTCCACCTGCCCATCACTAGCAAGCCAGAATTACTAATCCCTTACACAAGAACTATGTAACACTCAAGTCTGAAAGCTGAGCATGCAGATGATTAGGAAGGGAAGATGAGGAGGAAAAGTAAGACATACAACATACATAAAACCAAAAAGAACACTTGTGAGAAGAACAGCAGCAAAACAAGATGGGTCAAGAAGATCAAATACTTAAGTAAAAACAAAAGACAGGGGAAGATGCTGGACTTAGTCACCAAAACAAATGGTCACTGTTTCATAGGATGAAAAAGTAGACAGAAGCTTAGGGGAAAAAAAAGAACATGGTAAGTAGGATTAGTCAGATACTACTCAACATAATACACAACTATTTTTCATCAGTCTTAACTGAATTTCTTTGCTAATACTGTGTATCTATAAACCATTTGAAGCTTTCCAGCAAGAAGTCTCTATAGCAGAATCTGTCAAACATTTCCTGTGACTTCATCCTACTGTTTGATTAGCCTCATAAATTAAACATATCTAACCTCAAAACACCAAATATGGCCAGACTACAAGTTAGATTCTCTTAAATTACAGCAGACATACACAATAAGATTGGGGCATGACCTTTGTTACAACAAAGTGTGCTTTGTCCTCTCTAATAGGCTTATTTAAAGGCTAGCAAGGGCCACACAGGTTTCCTCAAGACCTGCAAGCTGACAAAAATAGCTGCTTACCTACTATCAGTGTCCAGACCTACAAAATCCTTCTTCTCAAAGGGAACACAGAGGAGCGGGATCTTGTCTCCAGACTTATCAGTGGCTCTGTCAAGTCGCTTAGACTCCAACACTATGAAGAGGGATTCAATAAAGTCTTCTATTCTCTTCTCCACAGTTTCACATTCATCATAACTAGGATAAAATGCCACATCTGTGCGGGGTTGCTCTGCAATCTCTCCTTGAAGCCCAAAGACAAACAAGCGGGAATCGTAGAGAGTAGCACCATACAGCTCCTTGTGGAGATGGAACTTCTCAAAAGTCTGAGGCCAGTCCTTTGCAGAGGAACAGTCTGTAATGGTTATCAGCCCCACAACCTTCCGGTGCGTCTGAAAATCCCCCCACTCGTTGTTCTCTGGGGGGTAATGGTGCCTGTAACGGATATACAGCACCCGCTGAGAGTCGCGCACGTTAACTTGACTCACTGCTGAAATGCGCTTGTAGATCCTGAAAAAGCTCTCTTCAGGTACAATGCCAATGGGCTGAACCACAACCAGGAGAGTCTGATGGTCCTCAGCACACTGCATGTAGTCAGGAACGCTCATTTTGCACCAACCGCAGGCTAGTAAGAGAAAAATGGATGTTATTTTTTAACATTCGCATGCATATATGGTTGCTGAATCAAACCAGGACTTCAATGCTGAACACTTCTACATCCAGTATGTAACATAGCATGGTTTGTGTTGGAAGGGACCTTAAAGCTCCTCCAGCTCCAACCCCTGCCACGGGCAGGGACACCTTCCACTAGAGCAGGTTGCTCCAAGCCCCTGTGTCCAACCTGGCCTTGAACACTGCCAGGGATGGGGCAGCCACAGCTTCTCTGGGCACCCTGTGCCAGCGCCTCAGCACCCTCACAGGGAAGTATTTCTTCTTATATATGTGCTACAATACTAGTTTTCTTCATCATTTTACTAAATCTTCAATCGTGCAGCCTGCTGACAAAGTTACGTGACTAATTGCATGCCTTGTGCACTGTGTATCAGTATGGTCAGAAACAAAAATCCATACATTCATTTCTTCTAACCAAATCACTCCGAGGTGTAAACCAACACTAAACCGAAATGGCCAAACTTCACACTGCTGTCAGTGCTCACACATGGCCAGGCAGAGGAAAACCAGGTCCAGAACACTTGTATTTGAGAAAAACTGAAATCATTCGTGTTTCAAAACGCATGCAGGTTCATCAGAAGGACCAGGCAACGTTTTCTGCTTTTATATTTCAATATTTAGAATTCCTTCTCCCCGAGTTATCTAAACCTGATTTCTGTCCTGCAGCTGTGTCTTAAATGAAGCCGCGCATAGCAAAGCCTTCACATCCCCTTCTGAGACATCCCAGACCGGAGATCCCTTGGTGGATTCCAGCTCCAAAGCACCTCTGACACGTACATACAAACCAAAGAGACACAAACAAGCAAAAACCAACAAACCCGCAGCACAGCTTCACGCTGACACTACCGGTTTGACCGAACAGAACGAAAGAGTTCCAAGCCCATGAACAGAAGCGGCGGAAAAGCAGCGCTCTGAGGTGCTCGCATCACTCCCGACAGCGCAAGACCCGGCACTATAAACCCCAATCCCCAGCCC